TGCTGGTCAGGGAGTGTTTTAAGTTGTCAAAGTACAAATTTCAAATTTTGGTGCTCAGAACAGGATATAATACTGCAACTAGGAGCTTTCTTCTTATCTTACTCCTTTTATTTTATTTTATTTTTTTTTGGTCCTATGCTTTCAATTGTTCTCTTCATCTTGATGCCCATCTCTTAGGCCCATTTGGATACTTCTTGGTTAATTGGCAACAAAACAATTTTATTTTACATAAGCAGGAGAAAAAGAAGCCCCCTAATAGCAGTAAGAATTTCCATTTAATTCCCAGGATTGGAAAGACCAGAAGGTTCAAGCTATTGTCAATGAGAAAAATGAGCAATTCATTTTTATAATACAATATTATGCTGACTGCATAGACAGGACAATTCAAATTCAATTCAATTCATTAATCATGTCATTAGAACAAGTCACTGAGGCAGGAAACTGAGGATATAAGGAAGAAAATTTGTCCCTCATGGATCTATGCTCTATGCTACAGAGATATGACATGTAAACTAATGATAATTTGAAGAGAGGAAGGGAACTAACAACTACTGGGATCAGGAGAGGCTTCTATGGGGAGGTAATTACTAAGTTAATTTTCAAAGGAGACAGGATCTGAAGAGGTGTAGGTGAAGAGAAAGTGCATTCCAGGCATATGGTGGTGGCTTGTGAAAAGGCATGGAGGTGGAAGATGTAATTCTGAGTTCCAGGAATAGCAAGCAGGCCATGTTGCTGGAATGCTGAGGGCATGAAACGGAGTCATGTGAAATCAGGCTGGAAATGTACTTTGGGGTCAGGTTGTGAAGCTGAAATGCTAAGCTGAAAAGTGTCCATTTTATCCAATAGGGATCCATTTGAAGGTTAGGAGAGTCAGACTTACACTTTGGGAATATTATTTTTGCAGATGTTTAGGGGATAAATTGAAAAGGGAAGATAGAGGAAACAGGGAGATCAATTGGGAGGCTACTGAAATGATTCAGGAGAAAAGTAGAGAGGGCTAGAATTAGGGTTGTGGACCATACAAATAGAGACAAACAGATGGACATGAGAGACTTTGTGGAAGTAGAATGAAGATTGACAGTTGATTAGATATATCAGTAATGGGTCTCTCTCAATGGGAGAGGGTTGAGAATTACTCAGTGTGGTACTTTGTTGAAACAATGCCTTTAGGATCTAAGTTCAAATCTTGGCTCTGTTTTTTAACTGCCTATGCAACCTTGGGCAAGTCATTCAAACTTTCTAGGCCTCAGTTTCCTTGTATGTAAAGTAAGAGATCATGCTAGATGTCCTTTAGGACCTCTTCTAAATCTAAATCTATGGTTCCATGGCTCTGAGATTATGAACCTGAGTGATCAGAAGGATGAAAAGTGACCTTGGCTGAGACAGAGAAGCTAGGAAGAGGATTGGGTTTAGATGGAATGATAATATAGTTTTGTTTTAGACATACTGTGAAACACTCCATGTGACTGTCCAGCTGTTCCTTGGTGATATGGGACTGGAATTTACACAGAGTTGGGCTGATATGTCATTTGGGGAGTCAATTGTATAGAGATGATAATTGAACTCATGTGAGTGGATGAGATTACAAAGAGAGGGAACAGAAAGAAAGAAGAGTAGCTCCAAGAAATGACTTTGAGTCAGGGGTCTATACCCCAATGGCTGATGGCCCAATATAAAAGTCTGAGAAGATGTCAGAGAGGTAGGAAGGGGACATAGGAAGATAGCAATGTCATGAAAGTGGAGGCAGGAGATCATAGGTGGAGAAGATCATAGCTAATAGTGTCAAAAGCAGTAAGAAGTCAAGAAGGATGAATATAGAGGAAAGTTTCTAGTATGAAAGAGATAATCAGGGACCACAGATTTAGCTGAGTGGTCAGTAAGAAAGCACATGGCAAGGAGTTAAGAAATGAAAGGATGGTGGGGAAATGTAGGTAGCAAGTGTGAAAAATGACTTCTTCTTTGGGAACGGAAGGAAAAGTTATAAGAAATAGCTCAAGTGCAGGGTTGAATAAACTTTTTTTTTAAAGGATCGGGGAAACTTGGAAGGCCCCAGCAGAGAAAAAGAGATTAAAGATAAGAGAGAGAGAGAGAGAGAGAGAGGAGAGAGAGAGAGAGAGAGAGAGAGAGAGAGAGAAATGATCAAAGTGGAAAAGAATGACAGAAGATGGAAGGGGATGGAGTAGGATCCAGAAGGAAGTAGAGGAGCAGATGGTGGCAAGGACAAAGGCCCAAGGTTATAGCCCAATTCCCCAATAGCACTAGAAATGCAATGCAAGGCTGCTGTTTCTCCAAAGCACCAATGGATGTCCAAGGTAAACTGCTAAGACCAAAAGTAAATGCAGTTCTTCATTTTATAAAACATTCCATTGGACATGAAACCCCTTCCTGAGGCTTAACAGTGTTTTCTAGACCCTTTGTCCCTTTGATCAAAACCAGCTGCTCTATGTAGGCACCTCCTAATCAAAATGCCTCTCTAGGACAGCAGATTTAACCTGCCACATGAGACAGCACAATGACACTGAAAAGAAGAAAAAAAAGACCTTAGGTATGTCCAAGTATTATGCTTTACTATTATTTGCATCTTCCGTATATAGGTCATTCTGGGTGAAGTCAGCTTCATTGAGGCTTTCACATTCTTTTTCTTCCTTGCCATTGTCGAACCAACTTCTAAGAACTGTTTGAGTCACCCTAAAATTAACAATGCTCCCATGGCTATGGGAAGAAGATGGACAAAACATAATATAAATGAATATGCTGCTAATCTGGAAGAACTTGTGGGAAAAGTGAACAAAATCAATCTGTCCAGTCATCCTGTTCCTCAGGGACCATGCTATTATTAGATTCAATTTCTGAGGCTGATAAATGAATTTTCTCCTCCCTTTCTGAGCATAGCACCTGGATTTTGTAGCAATGGTCCTCCCTAAATTCTTGCCAGTTGATAAATTGCTCTTCCACTGAGAAAAAGATAGTTTATGGTTGAGTAAATATTGACAAAATGTAGATGAGACTGTGTTAATGTCCATTTCCTGTCCTCCCAGTGAGTAGAGGTAAGGAAGATTAGTCTATAGATTTAAAGCTAGAAGGGACCTTAGAGGTCAGCTAGTCCAACCTCATTCTGCAGAAGAGATCAACTCCAAGAGAGGTTAAAAAATTTAACCAAGATCACCCAGTTAGTGAGTGGAAGAAACAGGATTCAAAGCCGGATCCTTTGATTCCGGGTTCCTTCAGCTCTGGTCTTCTGACTTCTAACCAGGCCAGGCTTTAAGATAAAATAGTGAAATAGAATTGTAGTTGCTTTTAAGAGTGAGAAGAGATTATGTAGGCCAATTCTTCTAAGTTTCTATTCAGTGCCCTCCCACCTCCCCTTTTAGCATCTCTTTCCCTAAATCTTTCCTTCTCCAATCTTTCGCAGTATTGCCCAGGGCTACAAAGTCCTAGCTGCTTAAGTGACTCCACTGGACTAGAAGGTACATTCTCAACTTTATTTCTTCTAGGAAAATGTGTTCTTGCTTCCTCAGATCTCATTATCTTCAACTATCCCTGGGCATTTGAAAGTGACACAGAGGGGCAGAGAGGAGAATGTGGTCAGGTAGAGTCATGACTTTCATGAAGGCTGTGGCAATGGTAAGGTTGGTACAGGCATACCTTGGAGATGTTTCTGATTCCATTCCAGACCACTACAATAAAGTGAGTTACATGAACTTTTTGCTTTTCCAATGCATATCAAATTATGTTTATACCATATTGTAGTCTATTAAGTGTGCAATAATATTATATCTTTTAAAAATTGCTTTAAAAGGCAATAATTAATTGTTAATTAAAACAATTAATTTACCTTAATTAAAAATACTTTATTGCTAAAAATGCTAAGTCCTAATCTTTTTGTTGGTGGAGGATCTTACCTCAATGTTGATGACTGCAGACTGATCAGGGTGGTGGTTGCTGAAGGTTGGGGTAGCTGTGGTAATTTCTTAAAATAAAACAACAATGAAGTTTGCCACATTGATTGACTCTTCCTTTCACTTGAGCACTTAGAGGCCATTGTTGGGTTATTAATTGGCCTAATTTCAATATCTCAGGGGATAGGGAGCCCTAAGCAGACACAGTGAGATGGGAACCTCTGGTCCCTGCAGCAATCAGAACACACACAATATTTATCAATTAAATTTGCCGTCTTATAGGATGTGACTTGTGGAGCCCAAAACAGTTACAATAGTAACATCAAAGACCACTGATAACAGTTCACCATAACACATATAATGATAATAAAAAATTTTGAAATACTGTGAGAATTACCGAAATGTGACAGAGACACTTATATGAGCACATGCTATTGGAAAAGTGACTCCAACAGACTTGGTCAATTCAGGATGGACAAAAACCTTCAATTTGTAAAAAACAAAAACAGAAACAAACAAAAACACCCCTGCAATTATGTGTGAAGTGCAATGAGGCAAAGCATAATATATAGGTATGCCTATAAAGTGCCAAGAACTTAACAAAGGAAAAAGTTTAAAAGAGCATTATGGGGCCTAGAAGAAATGCATGGGGTCCAAAGCCAGCAATATCAATGAGGCAAGTAGTGGGTGGGGGAAGATAGGGTGGTAGGAGGTCTTATGGTCTGTATTCACTTGGGTGGTTGCTGAAGTGATTAAGAAGGACAGAGTATGCTGGAGCAGACCAGAAATGCCCTGGGTCTATGCTGTCAGAGCCTTCCAATTTCTCTAACTTGGAGCAAAATGCTGTGCCTCTTACCCTATTAGTAGCTCTGATATGGTTTAGTCTGAGACTTGGAGGTTAGTTACATACTTCCTTTCCTGACGATGCTAGAGATTTCGGACATACTCAATTGATCCTAGTGCTAGATGCTAAAGAAATAGATCTTCAAATTAACCTAGCACAATCATAGTACATATTTTCCTGAGAGTTGGGTCAATAATGAATTCTGTGTTAAGATAAGCAATATCTCAATTACTAAAGGTGCACCAACACAGAAGAGATGTGTGCCAAAATGTGATGTTTATTGTCAGAGCTGAAAACTTTTCTGGGTCATTCAAATAAAATACAACATAAAACAAACCAATCAAAAAAAAGTTTCAGGATAGGCCTTTAAAAATAACATATTCACAGTTAAAATGACAATGCAGAGTTAAATTACATAATTCTGTCAAGAAAAGGGAAAAGAGAATAAACTGAACTGAACAATTGTTTCTTGAAGAGAACAAAAACAAATGAAATGCAGAATACAGTATAGTTAAGCCACAAAATACATTTTAACATGAAAGTGCACAGATATGCAAAATTTTTCTTTAATTATTAGATCAGGTAGCATTCCTTTTGCTTCATGCACTTTAATGTGATACAGCCAATATAGGACAAATTACAATAGCTAGTGCAGTACATAATTAATTTCACAATTAAAACAAAAAGGTCAACACTTATTTCCACCATTACAGCTTGTTTATGTTTTAACTCATATCTGGTCAGCAAGGTTAACTGAGATGACAATAGGCATACACATTGTACAAATTGTATATAGATAACACTTTACTCAATGCATATTAATATTAGGGTATAAGGTAGTAAGGAAGATATTAGCAGCAATCACTGGTAACCCAATCTGTCCCTACTACAAGCTATCACATGAATACTGCAGTTCCATGAGGGAAGCATTTATTAATGCTCTAGTAATGTAAACTGTAAATGTACAAAGCTATATAAGTTCCACTTGATGTCTAAAAGTGCTGTCTCTTACATTATCTAGACTTGTAAACCAGCCCTTGTTGGTTACACTGGATATTAACCTTTCCCCTTCCCTCCATCCCCCCCCAGGTCCTCGACTGTTGCCAGGACAGGTGGAGGTGTGGAGACCCGAATAGGGGTGGGGGGAGGTGGGGAAGAAGGGCTAAATAAAAATATGAGTGAGGGTCACATGACTGCTATCAGAAGAAAACTATGCTCATACATAGTTTAGGTTGGGCATGCGCTTCCTTTTGGTTAATACAGGTTCTTCCTGACCTCCTGTGACCCAGAGCTTTTGGCAGGTAGTGGAAGTTGGATGAGACTAAAGAGCAGAAAATGGTGTTGCAGGAAAGTGATGAGATAAGCCTCTTCTAGTGATGGAGTTATATCTAGGGACTGAGGGATTAGGTTCCAACAGATAAGAACTGCAAAACCTTATTGAAACCAGTTTGGTCTGGAGACAGGCTGAAGGAGCCATGTGAACAAATTCTCTCGGTGAGATTGTTGAACAGTAAATACCATAAGATGGGGCCAACCCAGAGTCATCTTAAAACTTAATTTTGAGGCCACTGGAGGTAGGTGAGGTTTTTTTTCCAGCATAGTATTGTATTAAGAAAAGTGTATGTGGGGGAGGGGTATCAACACCATATTCTTCTGGGTTTGGGCCAGCTCAGTATTGTCATAGGGTCACTGGGCAGTGATGCAACTGTCTGGAGGGAAACTGGAAAAACCACAAGTTGAAGAGAGAATTCATGGGGTTGCAAAAGAATTGTTCAAGTTTATTTGGGGGGGTGGAGTGACAAGCTAGTTTCTACCTCTACTAACCTATTTCTCTCATACCACTCCAACAAGTCCCGTGTTGCCCAACGTACTTGTCCCTGATGTCAAGTACCAGGGAGGAAAGAAAAAGTCTTCAGTAGCTTGTTGGAAAATAAACAAAATTTTTAAAGGGACAAATACATTTTAAAGAAAGAAACTTAGTTCCACATCAGGTGTTCCATGTTACCGAGTTTGTGTTCTAGTGTTCTCTCTTTATTCCAAGCTTGTTTTCCCCTCCTTGTTTCACAGAATGTTCTGCAGCTCATTGCAGGATTCTGTATTCATTATGGATGCTGATGCCCATGTTGACAGTGCATTGGTGGATTCCCTCCCTCCCTCCCTCTTTCTCTGCCTCCCACATAGCCAGGTGGTTTTGTCACCGAGAACCTTCTATTCCTGAAGAAGAAGGCTTGGGAGGAGGAGGTAGACAAACAACTAGGTAAAGAGAGAGATCAGCAAGGAAAGGAAGGGATTGGCATGGATTTTTTTCAGGGCTGGTAGTCACTCCGACAGAGGATCGAAAGCCTAATGCTAAGAATTCCTCAGAAGGAATAGGAATAAAGCCTTGCTATTTGAGCAAAGTCTGGCTGATCACATCTGGAATTGTGGTGCTGGTCAGATGATTAGCCACGTTGGCCAAAGTTGGGCCATCACAGAGGAAATACCAGCAGCCCTTTTCACTTCTTGTCACCTATCTCTACCCTTTCCTTCCACTCTTCTAATGTTTTTAACATAGAATAATAATGCTCACGATTTTAAAAGCGTTTCATCAATGGTTTAACCTCTCAGCACCTGATCCTGCACATTTTTACATCTTAATGCTAAGAAAATACCTAGCCCTACCCTATGGTTAGTCCTCCCTTGCCACCTTCAGTTATTTCTCTGGAAATGAAATTGAATCCCTGGTTTTTCAACTGTCCCCATAAGAAATTAAAATAACTTAAACCTTAAACCAGGTCTCAAAACACTGGCCACATTGAGTGGAATGACCAGAGATTTTTTTAATGGTAGATTATCCACCTGAATTCATGTAAACTCTTTTCTCTAAATAACTCAGAAGGATGGGGTCGGGGGATATTTGCCAAACTTTGTGGAAGTACTATACCCATATATGCTTTATCATCAGTCATACAATTAAAAAATTTTAGGGGAAGTGTAGCGACTCCATGATGTTCTCCCAGCACACTATCAAAGAACACTCTTCACTTCGCTCACATATTTAGCTCCTAGGTTACCAAAGGCATTTCACACACTGAACATTATGAATCACTCAGTCTTCATGGCTTCCCTGAAACCTATTCTTCATCTGCCTCCCATATGAGAATCTTCAAGTACTCAAACTATCTAGTGGCAAAAGGCATTCCTCATTATAAATTGGTGAGGGAGGGGGGACACTGTGGGACAAAACTTTGACCCAAAACCAGGTCAACGTGGCATTTATTAAGTGGCTGTTATATGCTAGGGATTGTGTTAAGTGCTGAGCCCTTCCACAAAGCTGGAATCACAATGAAAAGAGATGGCACGGATGCACCTGGAAGGTCAGTACTAGGGGCCTCATTCACTAGTCTATTCTCTTTCCCAAGCCCTTTTAACTTGGAGATATATCCATACGGTATCCATCCAAGTCTTCTACCAGCTTGTAAGAAACCTTCCTAAGCATTCGAAGAGTGATGGAAAAGGAGGGATTGAGCTGGAATTGGAATTTTTACCTCCTCATGTTTATTTCATGGGGATGTTTAATGGTACTCCATCCTCCCCTCCCACCTCACCAAGGGGTATGGTTTTAATGTCCTTATGTACAACACTTTCTAATGGTTCAATCCAAATGAAGACAAAGACTGCATCAAGACAGCATTTCATTGCAATGCTTCAGTAGCCTGGTCCTATCAGTGTATGTTGACTTTGTTTCAAATGCAGAACACTGTATTAATTGCTTGGTCTAGTGGCTCTAGTGAAACATTTAAGTCCTTCTCCTATAGAAATGTGTGCTTCTTAAATATGAAGTTGTGAGTTTGATCAGGGGAAAATTTGGAGGGAGCCTTAGGATGCTAAGGAGCTTGGACTTTCTTGTTATCAGATTCCTTGTGCTTTTCTTGTAGTTTAATGCAGACTACCAGGTTTGGCCAAAGTGACCAACGTACTACCAAGAATTTCTGCATCGTGACTACAAAACTAAAGAAGCATTGGCTCAAACAATTCCTCTAGAGTCTGATGCAAGAGTGTTTCAATATTCTCTGCAAAGAGCCTCTGACAGCTGTCTTAATTTAAATGTTAATGTCTGATTCTTTCACCACCCTCTCACCCTAACCTTATCCCTCTCTGTCTCCCTAACCCTGGGGACATCTTCATGAACCATTGTGGTATGCCAGTAGGATCAAAAGTCCAACCTTGTAAACAGTGACAGGCAACCCAGGATAACTGTCCTTATCTGCCAATGGGCAGTTAGATCAGGCAGCTCAAGGGATATTCAGGTTACATCTCCAAAGAAACGCGGCCCCAGATCTTAGGAAACTGGGTTCCTGTTTGGCTCAGAAGCAAATGTTTAGCCAATTGTGGAGTCAACAATATTCAGTTCTGAACAAGCATAAGTAGTGTTTTGCTTTTAAAATCCCACACAACTTGGAAGAGTAAGTAATGTGGTCGAGCCATTTTTCTGATGGCAGACACAGGATAGGTCACTAACCCAAACCAAAGTCCCTCTCCTCCCCACCCTCCTGCCCTCTCCTCATCCTCTCCCTCCATTCTGCTGCTTAGCAACAGGGTTAAGGAACAGAACGCAAATATCCTTTAACATCTGTGTTAACCTTTTCCTGAGGCTGAGAGGCAGCCAAATCTGGGTCCAGTGTTTACAGCAGAATTATAAATCACAACCCCTTCCCCCATCCCACTGACTCCAAGACAGAATGTTTCCCAAACGTAAACAAGGATGACAAACCGCAGCGGCAATAATGATCTCCAGCACCCTGCCATGTACATGTGGGCAGTTGCCGGTTTCTGTACTTTGGTAGCATGCTTGAGAACTTTTCTCTTATTCATCCAAAACCTGAAGTCTGCTTGGTCAAGACAGCAGGAAATGATTAAAATGAAACTCAATGATGTGTTTAAAATGAAACAGAACAAAACAGCAAAGGGGAAAAATCAAGTAAACATTTCTTTGATCAGTAAGGAGCCCTTGGGTATCACCGGCATTCTATTCATTAATGCCACAAACACCTGTCCCCATAGCACCGTGGCACTGATGTGGCTGATGCTCAAATAAAACAGGGGAGAACAAGCCGTCCTACCCCAGCCTCCCTGTCATTGTACCGTATTATAAGAGGGTGAACTGGCAGCCTGACGGCCCAGCTCCTAGCAGCTTCTCCAAACCAGATGGAAGACCTGGGTCTCCTCCTCTTCACCCTCTCCATTTGTATTGAAGCAGGATTTAGAAAGGGAGCACCAGCGCTTCCCCCATTCCCAAGTAACAATACCTTTTTGTTTTGCTGTTGTCTTTTTTTTCCCCTTAACAGAACAATTCCAGATACCACCTCTTCTAAAGAAAGGTTCCAAGTCAAGGAAAGATAGATTCCTTCGACAGGGTAGGTGAGACCTACTCAGGGTTTGTAGACTGAGCATCTGAACTTCCCCCTTTTTCTGAAGAAGTGGCATTTGTAACAAGGTTGGAGGAAAAAAAAAACTCAAGAAGGAAGAGATATCTTCTTAGCAGCTGGCTGGATGCTCCCATTGTAGACAAATGAAAAATTCCAGCTATCAGCAACAAAGGGACAAGCAATTGAAGGAGAAGTCCGGCAAGACCAATACACACTGTACAGTGTGTGTGTGTGTGTGTGTGTGTGTGTGTGTGTGTGTGTGTGTGTGTGTCTGTGTGTGTGCACTTTTCCCTTCCCTCCCCACCAAAAACCACATACATTTGGCAACTGGGTTTTTTCCTTTCTCTTCCAGGGTCCAGAGGTCGCCCTTTGTAGAGTATTCCCTGCTGTTCACAGGTACAGATGGGTAGAAATACATACTATCTTTCCCTGTTTTCTCCAGCTGGCATTCACTTTTCAGTCCTGTTCTGGAACAGGATGAGATGTAGATGAGATGAGAAGTGGTGGTTCTCATCATCTATTTCCTCCTCAGCTGTGGTACTGGTGCAGCAGGAATGGTGCTGGAAAGTCTACCAAGTTCACAAAGTCCTTAGATAGCATAACAGAAAGGCTAGCAGAGAGTGAAGGTCAATAGCATATAAAGAATCACACGCAACTGTACTGAGAAAGGTGGTCCTGCCATCTTAGGGAAAAATAGCAAACTTATCTGTCCTGGGCAGGAAGGAGTCCTGGAAGATCCATTGTGAGCACTTCTGACTGAGGAAGCACTGTCAATAGAGTGTGTATAAATAAGTAAATAAATACATGAATAAAATGAGAAAAGAGCTCTCTTAAGCACCTCTTATCAATCAATAAAAGTTTTCTTTTGAATTTCAAAGCCCTTCATCTACCCATGGTTAGCTTAACTCCAAACATCGTGCAGGAGGCTAATCAAATTGAGAAATTAACTTGAGATTCTCCTAATACTGGTATGTTGTTTTTGTTCTTTTTTTGGATGACACAGAAACCATCCTAAATGTCCCCGAGGTAGTCTTGTTTCCAAAGAATCACAGAATAGCTCCAAACCCAACTGGAACATGTCCATGTAATGCCAGCGCACTTTTCAATCATGATTTTGCCTCAGCTTATTATGGCATCACCACTTGTACATTCTCTTGGCATGATGTCACAAAAGACAGATACCAATCCCAGATGTACTCCAGAGTTGACCGTGACCTCAGGAGCTGGCTTGAAGACACTGCTCCCAAGAGGCTCTGCCAAAATGATTTAGAGTTCAACTGGAAGTCCGTTGGGAAATAATTCCAAAACAAAACAAAAAGAGAGATGAGAAACATGCAAATCTAACTATTCTCAATCCCAAGTTTAAAATTAGCTGCCCCTTTTCTTTCTTTTATATTCAACAAAACAGATGGAAAGGAAGTAATATTTTGGGATTGTAAAATACACCTGTTACCTAAATCTCTGGGCCCTATTTCTCTGAGGAAACGGGTCAGCATGTGCCCAGGGCAAGCATTACAATAGCAGCCTTCTTACTAACACCACCATGCTAAATCCTACTGGCTGGCTCTTAGAAGAAGTGGGTTGTTGCCCAGCCCCCTTCCTAACACCAGCTTCTTCTCTCACTGAGGGGACCCCATCAGAGTCCTAGGTTGGTGTTCTATCTACCACAGGACAGACAACACTCAGGACTGGATATTTCTCTGATCAGGGATGCCCACTTGAGCTTCAGGCCTCTTACTGGCACAAACAACATCTTGAAAGACAACAGAGAAAGAAATGGGACAATGGACACAAAATACCCTGATGAGGCCCATTATCTACATTCCTGACCAATGAATACATCCTATAATCCAGTGAAATGAAACTCTGACATTGATTATTTAAAGTGGGATTTCTCCCCTTGGACTTTCCACGATGTCAAAAGCTTCATTCACGTGGAAAACTGAAATCGATAGTACTGTCAACATTACTCAACAGGCCCTATGAATAAAGAAAAAAGGCCTCCTCTTAGCCACTTCCAAAAATCTGCCCAGGGACTATTACCATTGGCAGGGACACCTGTCAAAACTCTGCCCTGAATCAATAAATTCAATATGGAGTTAAGTAAAACGGAAGTCAGCATTTAGCCAGAGCTCTGTCCCCTTGTAGAAGGAGGTTATTCAACTCAATGACAGTTGTGGCAAAGTCCACCAGGTCGACAAAGTCAGATGTGATGATGTTGACACCCAGGACTCCAGGTTTCTGTGTCTTCACCCAGTTCAGAATCACAGGAAGATTCCTAAAAAAAAAAAAGTGTAGAAATTAGGATAGCTCAATAAAGATGATCTAAGGAGAGCACCTCAGATGTTTACTAGCTGAGTGACCTTGGGCAAGTCACTTAACCCTATTGGCCTTAGTTTCCCCATCTGTAAAATGAGCTGGAGAAGGAAATGGCAAATCACTCTCTTTGCCAAGAAAACCCCAAAGGGGGTCACAAAGAGTCAGACACAGCTGGTACAACACAACAAGAACAACAACAACAACAAAGGATAGCACACCTTGTCATGAGCTCCAGTGAGTTGACATTCATATGTACTTTCAGAGGCTTTTACGCCTCAATGATCTTCTCAAAATAAGAGAATGATTGCAAACCTTCCAGAGCCAAGTAGCTTTACCATGAGTGAGGCCACCATCCAATTGACCCCAGTGCCAAGAAGCGCCATAACATATCTTGAGAATATAATGAGTTCAAAGTGGAAACCTTACCTATTGATAATCTAATGGAAAACACATTCCTCTGGGAAGCTAGGTGGCACAGTGGATAGAGCTCCAGCCTTGGAGTCAGGAGGACCTGAGTTCAAATCCGACCTCAGACACTTGACATTTACTAGCTGTGTGACCCTGGGCAAGTCACTTAACCCTGATTGCCTCACCAAAAAGGCAAGGAAGAAAACACATTCCTCTATTTATTGAGGATGTACAGGGGTAATATTCAATACTGATTACCAGAGGGCTATTACAATGCTGTATTCTCATAAAAATGAATTCCCTTAAGACTTATTGAATTAGTAATGCTGCTGGGGAGTTCACAGATTGCACCTAATTTAAGGTTTTGTGATATGGTAAGGTCAGCCCTAGGCAAAGTTGAAATATGTCAACTCTCTCACCTTCCATGATTTACCTTTCATTATCTCCACCCAAAAACTGCACTGACTTTTGGGTTGTCTACAGGTATTCACAATCTCTCACTATTGTAGTAGGCTCTGATATACCAGTCTGAATCTATTTTCTAAACATAACCTTTCTCTACCTTCTTGGTAATCAGAATCTACTTCTGTGTCCTGTTCCCGTGAGGTCCCACAATCACTTGGGTCTTAGTGGAAAAAGAAATCTCAGAAATCAATTTATAATTAGTTATTAATGATTCGATGTGATAACCTTTCCATGGCAGTGGTACAGAGGGCATTAGCCCCTGGAGTTGAAGTCAGAGGACCTAGGTTCAGATTTCATCTCTGATAAAATACCTGAAAGAATTTGGGGAAATAACTTACCTGGGCTTCAGTTTCCTCATCTGCAAAATGAAGAAGCTGGACCACATTATCTCTAAGATTCTTTTCAGCTTGAAGATTGTGATCCTATGATATTTTGAAACCTAATGTTTTAGTTCAAATAAAACTTTTTGGACTAGACCTATAATTTTATGCATAATTTTTAGTGAGGAAATTCCATCTCTCATTAATCTGTTATGCAATTTATAGTCGATTAGAGGTTAGAAGATTTATCTAGTGTCACACAACCAGTATGTAACAAAGGCCCTGCTTGCAGCCTGGTTTTCTTGACTCTGAGGCCAGCTCTCCATCTACTATATTACATTACCTCTCAGATAAATGGCACAATTGAACACATCAGTGATAGGCTCACGGGGGACATCAGCCTGTGATCCTCAAGGTTACCAAGGAGTCTGTTCTGACACACTGTGATAAGCTGGACTTAAGGCTCATTCAGTTGGGAGAGCCATCCCTGAACCTCTCAGGTGAAAAGTGCTGGTCAATCCCAAGGCCAACCAAATGTACGTATGCATTGCAGAGAACCATAGAATGTTAGTGCTAGAAAGAACATTAGGGCACACAGTAAATTAATGAAAAAGCCTAGACAAGAATTGGGGTCTCCTGGCTTCAATTCTAATGCTCTTTTCACTGCATTACAAGGCTGCCTTCACTATCTGGTTAACTTTGGCAGGCCTGAAGAAATGGTGACAATGAGAAATGCAAACTCTACTGGTTTGTAGAAAAGGGGGCATTGAAACTCCACCTACTGAAAAGATGCAGCAACACTGAACACCAGGAGAAATTCCATAGCTCTATCCACTTTCTTAACAGTGGCAGACTTTAAAAAAATGAAACACAAGCGCCCCTTTCTGCTCAGCATAAGAAAATGCAAGTAAACCATCTGTCAGTAGCAAAATCCCAGATCCCTGGAGCTAGGATATGGAGAGGTCAAGCAGTGAGAGGAAAGTATTGTATTTCTTTGTGGTCAACAGAGACAAAGAACTGTGTTTCAGGTTTCAGGCTGCATATGTCATCTTTGCCCCAAAGCTTGGGTTACAAAGAGGGAAAGGAAAGTGAAATAAAGAAATATCTCAGACACTTTTCTCTTTCCCCGGTCCCCCCCCCCCAAGGCAAAATCTGTCAGTATTAGGATCCAGGATCTTCAGGTAAGAGAGAAAGATGAATTTTGATAAATAATAATCATTATAATAGTAATGAACTTCAGTGGCAGCTCAAAGACTATAAGGTAGGGAGGTGAAGACTTGCCATTGATCTTGAAAGCTATTGGAGGAGCCGGACCTTAATCAGTGCTCTAATCAGCAATGGAGGGCCCTTTGGTTGCTCCTAGGATGCTTTACTCATCCTTTCAAGCAAAAGCATGCTTTCTTTTCATTCCAGAGAGCATAGAGAGACAAGAGGTAGGAAAGAAAGTTGTTTAGGGCACGATGTGGATTAGAGGGGAGGAATTAGAGGGGCACATGATAAAGAGTGTTAAATATTACTTTTTAAAAGTGTACCTATTTAATTTTTCATAAATGCCAGAAAATTCACTTTTTGTTGTCTCCTAGGCAATTCTTTCTCACTAAGTTCAAAAGAGGCATTGTGGATAGTGGATAGGGTTTCGGTCTTGTAATCAAGAAGCTCTGGATTCAAATCTAATCTCCAAAATCAGCTGGCTGTGCAACCCTGGGCAAGTCTATGTGCCTCAGTCAGCTGCCTAATACTTATCTACTAAGTCATAGATGTTGTGAATTCCACCCTTTGAGTACATGGTGAGTCAAGTAACACCCATTATCGACCAACAAAGACTGGTAGATAAAATACATAAAAGGCAAAATTTTCCAAAGAGTGAGAATGGGTAGGGCACAATTTTGCCTGTGTTTAGGGTGCACAAATGTCTCATTTGCCTTTGCCAACAGGAAGTCCTATCTCCTGGGAGACTGGTACAAATTACCTTAGGAATTCAGCCAAAGAGGCTGTATTTCTAGTGGTTTTTGCCCAGACCAAAGAGTGTGTGGCCAGTGGCCTTGTTTATCTAAGGCCTCTGAAAGTTAACAACTTAACACTGAGGAAACCCACTTCAGAGTTTTTCCCTGTTGGATTTGGTCAGAAAAACAGTGCCCAGTTCCAGTTTTGTAGCATTATTGTATTCCTTATCTGATATGAGGGACTGTGCTATGCCTTTAAGAGGAAGGTTGCTGGAAGGTCAATGCTTCCAGTCTCTATGCCCAGAGGACAAGTTAGCTTCATACTACACTTAACTATTTGGAATAAATTCTTTGCCAGAACCACACACGCTTCCTTAGAGGCCTCTAACTTGTGCTCTACATGGCTTCCTGTTTTGTGTCAATAGCATAATTCTTATAATGTAACAGCCCTTGCAGTCAATGGGGACCTCCGATGTCCATCTTTGGGGCACTTAATATGAAGCAGTCCCTCCCACGGACAAGGCTATTCCTCACTTTGGTGTTATGGCCCTGTGATCAGGACAACTCTGTGCTATTCAGAAAGCATTTAAATGACTCAGACTGAGAATTCAGAGCTGAAAAGGGACGGTGAAATCATGGAATCCAGACTTTGTCATGGAATCATGAATTTGTGCCCAGTCCATCTTCTTAGCCTTGCTTCTGCTTCTGAATGCTTCAGTAGAGCTAACCTGGACTTTTCTCTGTTCCTCACACATGCCATTCTTTCTCCCAAGGCCCCTGGCTATGTACCTGATCTCCCCATGCCTAAAATTTACCCTCTTTTCACCTCCAACTCATAGGACTCCTTGGTTCCTCCAAGATGCAGCTTAAGTATCAACTTCTCTATAAAGCCTTACTTGTTTACTTCAATCTTCCCTCCCAAATCATCTTGACTTAGTTACTGAATGACAACAAATTCTCTTCATAGTTAGACTCTGTATATGTCCTTGTCGCCTCATTTGTTGAAAAAAAAATCATCACATTTATATCTATAGCACAGGGCTTGGAACATAGTGGGTACTTAAAAATGATTGTTAATTAATTAATATAGTCCAATTCTTTCATTTTAGAGATGAGGAAGTTGAGTCCTAAGGAGTTTAAGTGATTTATTTATGGTGCCACAGGTGGGGCAGCTAGATGGTGCAGTGGACAGAGAGCTGGGTCTAGAGTCAGGAAGACTTGTCTTCTTGAGTTCAAACCTGGTCTCAGACACTTACTAGCTATGTGACCCTGGGCAAATCACTTAACCCTGTTTGCCTCAGTTTCCTCATTTGTAAAATGAGCTGGAAGGGGAAATGGCAAACCATTTTAGTATCTTTGTCAATAAAGCCCCAAATGGGGTCACAAGGAATCAGACATGACTGAAAAATAAAAATGACTGAACAACCACAAATTCTTTTCATAGTTATACTGTATATATTTATATATGCTCTTGTCTCATTTGTTAAATATATATATACATATATATTATATATGTAGATACTTAATAATGATTATTAATTGATTAATATAGTCCAATTCTTTCATTTTAGAGATGAGGAAGTTGAGTCCTAGGATGTTAAGTGATTTATAAAAGTTATCAGAGCTAGGAATTGAACCCAAGACTCTTCTTTCAAGAGCCTTTCACTGTAACACATTGCCTCTTTCAATTTACAGTCACACAACTTTGCATTCCCTACATCTCTGGGGAATGGGCAGGAACTTGCCAAGAGAGCTATTGTTATAGCTTGTCCATAGGCCTTGTTGTCAACATGGAGAAATATTTCTTTGTTTTGTGGTTGTCATAGACCACAGGGGCAGTGGCCAGATAGTAACTAAGCCTTTCATCAGATGGACATAGAGTATTTGTTTAAAGTGGCATTCAAAAGACTCTACAAAGATTCCCTGCCATGAACAGGTTTTGGTGAAGTTTTAGAGTTCCTTCAGGCAGGATGACCCTGACTCAGATATAAGAGATGCGTATTTACAGAAAAGGAATTAATAAAGTAGTGTGATTGGTGTGCACCAAAGTAAATAAGGCTGTTGAAAAGCTTCAGCTGTGGAACCAAAGCAGATCCTTACCTGTGCACCAGTGTGTTCTTGAGACCACCAACTAGGCCTCGAGCAATGGTCTTCACTCTGGGTGTGAGAATAGCTTGGGACACGTGGAAAGCTCCCCGGGGAGCTCTTTCACCGAGAGTTGTGTCTAAGAAGAGTATGAGTTTCCTCACGCATGTTGTATTGGCCCATGGTGCTGGAATCCTGTGTCCTGGCCACAGGAAGGGGTATTGCATGGCGAGGGGAGAATGGTAGAAAATAAGAACCTGAAATACGTAGAAACAGAGAAAAGAGAGAAAGAAAAATGAGAGAAATTAGTATGAGAATTGACAACTAGGTGGCACAGGGGATAGAGATAGGCCTTGGAGTTAGGAACTTCCTCCAATTCAAATCTGGGCTCAGACAGTTCCCAGTTGTGTGACCCTAGACAAGTCACTTAACTTCTACCTGCCTCAATCTCCTTATCTGTAAAATGGGGGCAACAATAGCATATATACCTCTCATAGAATTGTTATGAGAGTAAAACGGTATAATTTAAGTGTAAAGCACTTTGTCCTTAAACCACTCTATAAATGCCAGCTATTGTTATATATAACTGACTACTATTATGAAAATTGAAGTCATTGCTTTGGTTTGCCACTAAAGATGATGGAGAAAGAAAAGCACTGGATAAGGCCCATCGCGAACTACAAGCATATGTATAACTTTTAGAATTATTATTCATAAAATTAGCTAGCAAGCTAGTAGATTGACTAGTCAGCCATGTCCATGGAGTTAATTTTAGAGAATATACGTATAGGGAGAGGAGGGCAATGTAGCTAAGACGACAGCACAACATTTCTTAACTAAAAGAGTATTTAAAGACCATGAAGTCCTTAAGAACTATATTTTTATGTGTTGGGAGAGAGAAGGGGAAAAGTATTTATTAAACACTTACTATGTGCCAGGCACCATGCTAAGAACTTTGTAAATATCTCACTTGATCCTCACAACACTGGGAGGTAAATGCTAGTATTATCCCCATTTTACAGTTGAGGAAACAGATGTTGAATCAGTTGCCTAAGATCACACAGATAATCTGTGAGTGGAATTTGAACTCAGGTCTTTCTGACTTCAAGCCACTGAGCTGTCTAGTTGTGAGGGATGGAGTTGCATTGAAGTTCCTTCCCTCCATAGGAGGTATTTGGGGATGGGCCTGGGGTCAGAGGTGGGAACAGGATGGAAGAATTCTATGAAATGTGCTCAGTGGTGAGATTATGCCCTGGGTGCTTCTGGCAAACATAGGCTCGGACCTCTTCTACAATGAGAGACATTTGGTTTGCAGGTTTATCTTTTCCCTTTCCTGCAGCCTTCTCCCATAACAGGAGGCTAAATCAAAGAGGTTTGGTAACTAAGCAGTATGAGCTGCCCTTTCAGAAGACTTTCTTGCTTTCTTTTGTCTTCTCTTTTGACTGTGACTTGAGACTCCAACAGCTCTCCCTTGGACTTCCTGTGAGAAGAGGGGAAAAGGCATTTCTCCTTCCTTTCTTCCTGGGGAAGCAATGGTGGTTATCCAAATACTGCTGCAAGAACATGTGCTAATTCAGGTGAGCCTGTGCGTGGATTTCAAAACCCTTAGTACCTTTCATGTTTTATGTTTCTTTCTATGAACGTTTGTTGTTATTGTTCAGTTGTGTCCAATTCTTTGCGACCTGATTTCGGACTTTCTTGGCAAACACACTGGAGCAGTTTTATTTCCTTCTCCAGCTCATTTTACAGATGAGGAAACTGAGGCAAAAAAGTGACTTGCCCAGAGTCACACAACTAGTAAGTGTCTAAGGCTAGATTTGAACTCGAGTCTTCCTGACTCCAGGCCCCGCATTCTGTCTATTGTACCACCTAGCTGCTCTGTGGACATAGGTTACTAAAAACTGATTAATCTGGATTAACCTTGGGAATTTGGGAGTTCCTGGGTTTTCTCAATTGGTGCTGGCTGCCCTATGTGAGGTGCTTCCTGGAGCAATGTTTTTCAGAGAAAAGATGACCGTCTCCAAAACAGTACATGAAAGTGGAATATCTTCTACAATCTCACTAAGTGTTTCATGTTTTAATGGTTTAAGCATCCACCTTTCCCAAAGCATTTAACAGGATTTGTGGATTTGTGTGTCAAATCTTTGTCAATGTGAACTTCTGAAACTTCTGTGTTTTAAGAATTTCTTCTGTGGTGGAGGAAATAAATAGCTGTTCCCTACTTTGTACATTGAGAACCTTTCTAAAAGAAACTCTTTGAGAGAGATCATAGAAATGAGACAGGGGGCTACCACCAGTCGCCTGATCTATATCTTGCCTAGGACCCAAATGGCTCTGGAGGACAAAGGGAGAATTTGCACAACCTTCTCTTGCTTATGCAATTCACTTGCAATTCATGGCATCACCTTCCTGATGTCGTGGTCCTCTCCGAGAATGAAGGACAAACAACAAGAAATGAGACAAACCTAAGCTTTGTTTAAAGTGATATTCCTAGAGTTCTGCTGGGAATTGGTGTTGTAATGAATCAGAAACAATGAGGAAGAAGTTGACTTCCTTCTTTGGGTCCAGGCTCCTCCAAGACTGATCCCTGTTTATGGGTCTCTGATCTGAGGCTCTTTGTTGGGAGAAGTTTCCCTATCCCTCTTAGCCAATGGGTCCATTGTAACACATTGATTTAAAACAAAACAAACAAACAAACAAACAAACAAACAAAAACTGAGACCTAGAAAGATTAAGTGACTTGCTCCAAGTCCCATAGTTTAGTTGCTAGCAAACCTACTTAAGGGTTCATGCTCTTAGACCAGTATACTAGGATTTGTTCTGGCTAAAACAATTCAGAATTTTATCATTTCTAGAAGGATTGCTCTTTATGGAAAAATAAGGGCAATGAATATGTTCTCAGGAAAGGGCTTATCCCTAAAAACCTATTAGAAATGCCAAGAATTCCATTAGTATGCTTATAACTACAGCAGCGCCCTCTCCTGGAAGGAATGCAAATCTGTTTGCATGGCTTGCTCTCCAAATCCCAGCTAGCTTGGCTGAGAGAATAATCTTCCAGGTGTGGAAATAGGAATGTTCTAACTGATTTGACTGCCTGTCATGGGCGTTAAGCTAATGATTAAGGTGCTTGAGTAAACTGTTCTGAATGCTAAGTACAGAAAATCCTTGAAGAGTGGATACATCATTATACCAGGAGGTCAATTAGACTGGAAATGCTTTTTAAAAAATGTTTTTGAATAATTGATTGCTAATGACATCTGTGGTAAATATGCATTTTAATTAGGTTAACCACATGATCATCATAAGCAGCATTTTGCTGTAGAACCTGGGGAGGGGCTTCTTTCTCCAAATAGTTATGGTATTTGTTCAAGGGTTAGATACTTCTAGCATAATTGCTTAAGGGAGATGATCTATTAAATAGAATATTGGAAAAAGTATCAGAAGACCATACTTGCATTGTGCCTTACATAGGCTAAGTATTTAATAAAAGTATGCTGAATTCATTTAAATAAGACCATGTTATAAATTCTTAGAATTATAACTAATATTTACATAATGCTTTAAAATTTGCAAAACATTTTCCTCATAAAATGGGAATGGACCTTATAGAATACTCACTTTTAAATCTTGATCTGTATGACCTTGGGCAGCCATTTAATTTACCTAGGCCTCAGTTTCCTCATCTGTAAAAATAAAGGGCAGCTAGGTGGTTCAGTGGTTAGAGCAACAGGAGTCAGGAAGACTCATCTTCTTGAGTTCAAATTCAGCCTCGGATATTTACTAGCTGGGTGACCCTGGGCAAGTCACTTAACCTTGTTTGCTTGTTTCCTCATTTGTAAAATGAGCTAGAGAAGGAAATGGCAAACCACTCCAGTATCTTTGCCAAGAAAACCTCAAATGGGGTCATGAAGAATCAGACACAACTGAAATGAATGAACAGCAACAAAAAATGAAGGCTTTGGACTATATCCTCTGAGGTTCCTTCTGGTTCTAGAGCTCTGATCCTAATTGCCATACAAGGTTAGCAGTACTGTCTAGCTCACTAGCTAAGGGCTCTAGGAGTGGCAGGCCTATAGCTATTTCTTCTTCTGCTCTACAATATAAAATTCAAATAAATTCAATTTAAAATTGATTTATTATTTACTATGTGACAGATATTGGGAATCACTGGGAATACAGACATTTCACATTGGGCTCTACTGTTAGACTTCATTAGAATCTCATCATCCTACAAGGTCATATCAACCCAGAAACTCATACTCCTCAGGACCCTCTCCCCCTGAGGTCCCTCCCTCCCTCCCTCCTTCTGATTGGAAAGGATGGGGGGGGGAGGTGTTTCTTGCCAGATTCTCCACTTAGGGAGGGTGCCCAGAGAAGCCATGTCATTTCTCACCAGATGTTCTTCAACTTTATCATGCCCCACTGACTTCATCCTCTTCCTCTACCCCTCTTTCAGCTTATTGTTGTGTCGTCTTCTTCCATTAGATTGTGAGCTGCTAGAGGGCAGGAACTATCTTTTGCCTTCGTTTATATCCCTAGAGTAAATTTAGCATAATGCCTGGCACATAGTAGGCCCTCAATAATAAATGACTGAAAAATAAATATAAAATAATCATTCCTATGGGGCACTGAGACAATAAATTAGACAATTAGCAAATAGATTCAGAATTGGTTGGATGGCCATACTCAAAGAGTAATTTTTAACGGTTCAACACTAATATGGCAGAAGATTTCCAGAGGAAAACCCAAGGGATCTGCGCTTGACACAGTGTTATTTAACATATTTTATCAATGACTTGGACAAAGGCATGGATGACATGTTCATCATGTTTTCAGATGACACACAGCTGGGAGGGAGGGCTAACATGTTAGATGGTAGAGTCAAGTTCCAAAAGCATCTTAGGAAGGCAGAGCATTGGACTGAATCTAGTAACATGAAATCTGACAGGGATAAAAATGAAGTCTTCCACTTGGTTACAAAAATTAACTTTTCAACTACATGAGATATTATGAAGCTCTCATTAAACCTCATCAGGAATATTATGCTTAATTCTGGTGCTGAGGTTTAAGAAATGTGTTAGGAAGTGGGAGAGTTTCCAGAGGATAGCCTTGAACCCAGATCCCATGAGGACTGGTTGAAGGAATCGAGCATGTTTGACCCAGAGAAAAGAAAATTTGGGTGGTGGGGGTGGAAGGTTGGGAGACAAGGAGGCTTTGGGTCTAAATGTTTGAAGGGCTGTAATATGGATGAAGGACT